TTTTGTATTGCTGTGGGTATTTGCGTCCATCTGTGCCCTTCAGTCCCACAGCATTCGCAAGAAGCTTCAGCCTTCGTTACTTTTGTTTCTTTTGGATAGGCTCTCAACGAATAGCTTCGAAATTGCCCTTCGAATGACAGCATGTGATTTAGCTGTTCTTCCTGTGAGATAACGTTGTCAATGGCATCCAGCCATTGATTCAGAGTCCACTCGGACCCGTGCTCCTCTTGATGGCGTATTCTTTTTTCCATAGCAGCCTTTCTTATGCGTGCGTGGAATTTTTGCACAAAAATTTGTACTGTCAATTGATTGTTGAGCTGCTGCTCATGCTCCTCTAACTGTGCTGCAGTTGTTGACAGTTTGTCCCACAACTGTCGTTGTTCCGTCGTGGTTAGTCCCCCTGCTACACAATTGTGTAGGCTTTTGTTTAATTCCAAGACTATGCCATCTTTATTGCCGTACCTCTTGATAAGGTGTTGGATGGCCTTCTCATAATTATTTGCTGAGACGAAGAACCGTGAAACTGATTGTTTCGCTTCCCCACTCAGGGATGCCAGCAAATAATTGAACTTTTGCAGCTGTGTTATATTTTGGTCGTGGAACATTGGCCTTGTATAGAGCCCAGAAGTTGTCCCATTCCCACTTTTTTCCTGTGAATGTGGGGATAGGGATGATCGGGAGTCTACTGACTGCGGCTTGGCTAGTGGTGCCGTCTGTGTCAGTCCCTATATCCTCCTCCTGGACTTCTTAGCCGTGTCCTGTGCTCGTGCAGTTTCATTATTGTTGTCTGGGTTTTCTCTATGTACTTATCCAGGTGATCCTCCTCTTCTTCTGTTCTCTGGAGCTTTATCAAAAGCCTTAGTTAGCTTTGTCAGTGACGTCTCGAGAAGCTCGATGTATCTCTCATAGGTTTTTATTCTCCTTGCGCTTTCTTTGGCTTGTGCATCTGCGAGCGCTTGGGTGGAGTCCTGTAGCCAGTTTACCGCTGCGTCGCTTCTTTTAGTAACAAGTCCTTTTAGTGATCTTACAGTACTGCTCATGGTTAGTTGAGTTAGTGATGTAAGATACTGTGAATGGCTATGCGGAAACTGTGACTTTTACTGTGAGGGATCTGTAAGGCAGCTGTGAGGCGAATTTCTCCGTGACTCGCTGTGCAATACTGTGCTAAATGTGTGGTGAGTAACGTGCAGATTGTTAGTTGAAAGCGTTACTCGTTAGCAACAAATCGTGCCTCAATTTGGCCGATGCACCACTTGTAAGGTCGGTGAGTCAGTGTGTGTGTGCGGTGTGAACTGTGATCGATGCTGCCACGCGGGACTTACGCACAGCGAGTACACCTCAAACTTGGGTAATTAAACTTTATTATAAAAATACTAAATAACAACTACAAAACGCTACCATAGTACATAAAGGGTATACAATATATGCTGTCCAAGTAGCCTATGAGTTACTGTGAGGGGTTCTGTGAGGGAACTGTGATTTACTGTGAGTGATCCGTGAAGTAATGACTAAGGTAAGAAAGGCAAGAAATATCATACTGTGAGATACAACGAGAGAAAGGGAAAAAACACATAAACGTAAATATGTTCACTACACGATACCAACTACTTATATATGTAAGCGAATATAAACACACTCAAGACAAGCATGGGAAATCTATTGATAAGAACACCAAAGAACATAAATCTGTGAAATATTCGAGCCTCGGTCAAAATTCGCCATAGCGCATTCCTCGGGATTCAAAGAACGATACGAACGCAAGTTCGTATAAAAGTGTTAACTTTGCTCGGCGTACGCCCGAGACTGCGTAACAAGAGTGTAAGCATTCGCTGAAATAAACTGTTTGACGACTGCTTCGCAGGACTGCATTGCTGCCAAGAAAGCGAGAGTTTGCGGTCCACTTGTTCCCGGCGATAGTATGAGACGTTAAACATCTCAATGTTCTGTTTTAATAATGCGATCCATAGGTGTGATAGGAAAATCTGCCCACTCCCCTTTCCCCCTGAGCCGAGACCAAGGTGAGTTCCTTTACCAAAAGCAGGAAGAATATCATCTGTAATTTTTCGCCTGATAATCGCCACAGCTGTTGAACTTGCCTGCTCTACGATCAACAACAACGTCAAGGAATTGTAGCTGTCATTTCTCCATTTGTGTTCAGTGACGGCTCTATGAAGATTTCGAACGCTTAACCAGTCTCCAATTGAGGTTTTGCAGGTTTAGTGCTTAGAGCAGGATGGGGACTGTTTAACTCTTACACACTTGCTTTAACTAATATGTAGAACAAATCAAGCTGAGTTAGTTATTCCTAAATTAAAGTTTTGTTTCATGCTCTATGTTTCAAAGAAAATATTGGGAGCAAAATGACGACTGCCGACAATGTGAGACTATGGAAAGTTCATAGACGAAGAATTTGTAGCATAGATGAAACATGGTTCTGAAAAGTGTTGCGATAGCAAGTATCTGGATGTATCAATGATGGGACATGAAATAAAGTTGAAGCATTGTTTGCTTAATGTGTCTGAATTAGCAAAGCAGAACACATATATGACCATTTTTCTTGGTAAATGTGCTCGTGAGTAAGTTCTCAGACAATGGGAGCAGGCGAGCTGCAGCCCTTTACCGGCTAAAATTTTGCAGCTCCCGCGGTTCGGCCGGAGATTGGGCCTCGGTTCGGCCGCAGGTGGGCCTCGGCCCGGCCGCAGCTGGTTGTCGAGTCGTCCGTAGTTCATTCTAACTTGGCCTAATTGGGCCATGGCGCAACATGGCACATAAGAAAATACACAGTAAAAAACAAAAATAAGAGCCGCCATATAGCAGCTTCGAAAACCAAATCCAACTCAAAATTGCATAACGCTTAGAGGCTATCAAAGGTTGTTCATAAGACAACATATGATCTTGCTCCTGACTCGGAGATTGAAGCATTTCCAAGGCCATCGAGGATAGGATAGCCTAACCATGCGTCGTACATCACGCAAGTATTCTTCCAAGCATTTTACGCTCAGACACTAGGAGCGGCCGAGCAGCGGCCTTCATTTAGCATAGGCCGCGACTCGGCCGGAGTTTCCTACACAGGCAGATTTTAATCCGCGGCTCAACCACTGCAATGCTCGCCCCATCATTAAGGGCCGCGGTTAAGCCGGTGAGCCCATTTCCTTCCGCGGCTCGGCCGGTGCAATGATAATGACATGATGGAAGGGCCGCGAGTCGGCCGCACTCGGCCACGCCCCTAAATTAAGGCCGCGGGCGGGCCGGAAAGGGCTTTTGGGGCCGCGGCTCGTCCGCTTCCAGTGTCTGAGTTATAAGAGGGAAATGGTACGATGGCAGCAAGATTGGAGCAGTTCTCGCATCTATCTTCTGACTTTGATGTTAATGGCTTGGCTGAGAATGGAATGGACGACGACAACTGCCTGATGACCACGAATACTTTGATTTGCGCTGAAAACAACTGGGTACTTGATAAGATTGAATTTACGTTTGATTTCAAAGTTACATTGACGTAAAAACAAAAAACATGAGAAAAAGTTTTTCGTTTTCTGATCAGACGGTAAGGATGGAACGACGCCTGATCAGAGACATGATAGCGCTCGCAATGGTGTCCTGTCTCTGCATGCGACGAATTGAGTATACATGCCAAGTTTTGCTGAAGAGTTGCGAGTAGGGATGCGTTCGTCGCCGCGCGCTGTATGCAGGCTTAGAAATAATTCCGTTTCTATGTACATGAACCATTTACAATTACACGCACTCCCTCCCCCCCCCCCCCCGCGACGTTCATTCAGAGGGGAACGGTCAGGAGTCACGGTCGGCGAGAAATCGTCGCGATGGCCGCCGCACGCGACGTTGCGTCGTGCGAGAGCAGCGATGGCGGCCTATCAAAGGAGGCAGAAGTACTGTCGCTTCCGCGCGGGAATCCTGCCGATGTATCAAGCACGCCCTATAACAAAACGGCTGTTCTGTAGGAATATGATGCTGTTTGGGCGACAAACTGGCATTCTAGTCGCATTGGTAAATGGTTTGTCAAGCCCTCGTCTCAGAAACTGCAGGACTACAAAAGTAGTGATTTGAGCACATAAAAAGCAAAAACAAAGTGTTGTTTTTGTGAAGCCATAATTTGAAGTAAATAAGCTGCAGGTTTAGTTGTCCTGAAGGTAAGTATCAGCTTCTGGAGTATTGTAAATCCAGTTAGAGTTCGATCTAAGTTGCTCGTCGCATATTACATCATTTTTGTCCAGATTTTCTTAAAGCATAGTATTTTTTGTTGAGTAGCCTACATTTCGACCTCATATTTGAAACGATCTTTGAGAGTATAGATTTGATGCGTCCACAAGAGATGCGAAGCTCCAGCACCCTGCCTTTTGCATCTTTACTCCTCTTGTTCCCACTTTAGATTCCACTAGTTAAAAACAGCTCTTTATGATATGATCAGAAACAGTTACTGTGCACGAAGTATGTCAGTTTTTGAAGAGAAAAAACATCTTCAAAATTGTTTCAAATGATCACGCACGCATACCATTCATTTTACACAAAAGAAACAAAACAAAGACTCTCATCTTATCTTTATCGTGAACAAACATCAGTAGTGTACAAAGGTTCAATAGGCCTTAAATAGGCAAACTAAAAGATATTATCGAAATTTTTCGACTGTTCAACTTCAAGGACTGGAAAGGCGCCTGCTAGTAGCTTGCTGGTCAAGAGACAATGTTCCACGAAACCGTACTTATATAAGCAGAGAAAGATCCATTATCTGTAACTGTCACCGCGATGTACTCGTATTAACATGAGGTACTAGAAACAAGAAGATCAAGCGAACAACAAATCAAGACAGCTCCGGAGAAAACAAAACGAAATTGGTGTGGAAATGAAAGAGCACATCAAAAGCAACACAAATTGAATTTGAACTGAAAGAAATCAAAGAGATATAGAGAAAAATGACACCTATGGGGGCAATCGAAACCCTAGAAATGACGACATATGAAAAAAACATGTTGAAACGTGCGATCAACTCATATAGCCTTTTCGCTGACAAAGCGCAACATGGCTCTACAGTATCTGCAATCACAAAACATTTAAGAACAATTAGGGAAATAGTAAGATAATTTTTCCTACCTTATCAGTGCGCTTGTAGTGACTACTCCCTGTACTTGCCTCTCGAATGACTCCATTTTTCGGGATATTTTCTCATTTCGAAGCGAATACTTTCTGCGAACATGTCTTCCAATGTCGAACTGAAAAAAATGGTCGTTCTGTTTCGACAACGTTAAAGTGATCTACCTGATCAAAAGTCACCAACTTAGCGACGCATTTACGTTTTCTCGCTTGATGCGTCCCAGAACATTTTGGAAGCTCGCGTGTTTTTGGCCAAGTGCTCGTCGAATTTTGCTGAACGGTTATCTTGGTAATCGCGGTGGAAATATCAGCAAAAGATACCTGTGGCAGCATTCTGCAAGATTGGTTGTTCTTAAGGTCCATTCTCCATTTGCACCAGTACCGACGAAGTGGTTCGCTGAGCCGCGTATCGTAGAGATACACCAAAAACGCTTCACAACATTCGAAGGCTGGGTGTGTATCGGGCATGGACGGACGGAATAAGGCAGGCAGCCTCGAGAGAAATCGCTCCGGCAAAAATGGGATTCCCTTTATTGTCCGCCACCATTTTTTCACAAAAGCACTGCGATGAGGTCCTTTTAGGAACTTGGTGATTCCGAGGGCGTTTCTTCTGCGGTTCCAGCATTGGCTAAGGTGAAAAAGACATCCTTCTACACTCGTATTCGGGAAGCACCGCTCTGCTGCTTTCAAAGCTGAGATTTCGAAATCCAGTATGATTCTTGAAGGGTCGGTGGCGCCAGCCGCTTGCAATTCTTGCTGTACTCTGCTAAAGATTCTCTCTTACGTTTGTTGGGTTTTGTTCCTTGTAAACGCATAAACTAGTGGCATCTAAATATTAGGTTGATTCATAATTAATGCACGTTTTTCTTACCTCTTCTTCCAAGGGCTAGTATTTGATGTGTAACCAATTTCCTCACAAACTTTTTACGCCCTCTGAAAGAGCGTTTTCTCTAGTTTCTTGCGGGCCTTCGCTTTCGTACATCTCCTTTCATTCCAAAGTTCTAAGCCTTCAAATGAAAGAGACTAAATCCCAAAATTTTTGCTTTTCACTCTTTTTGCCCTAAATTCATGAGGAATCGCTGGGTTAATTCCAAAAAATATGCATAAGGATTAAGAAACTTTGTGTTACAAAATGCTTTTTGAGCAAAATATTCCATGGATACTGAGCCGAGAAATTCAATTGCGAACTTGAATGAGCGTCGCGGCCCTTTCGTGCCATATATAACTTCAAAGCAAAAAGCGATCGCAGGTCTTTTGCACTATTCAGCAAGGGTAGACCTAGTTGATTTGAAGGTAGAAAAGCGCTAGGGTTTTCTCAGTTTCCAGTGGAGAAAAATGAAATTATTTCAAAAATGACCGATTTTTGAACCCGCTAAGATGCCAAAAAAAGTGAGTACTTTCGATTTTTTTGCGATATTTTTTTTCAAAAACTTTCCGTAAAATCCAAACTTGGCCTTTCTGCTCAAGAGACCCTTGGCTACACGATGAGCGAAGTATACTTTATCCTACTTCATTTCAGCATAAGTTATGCTCTCTTAAAGAAGAGGCTTTTGAAAAAAGTTGTTGGCAATCTTCAGGCCAGAAAATCTTTCTTGTAATAGATGCAGTCACGCATAAGAAGTTGTTTTATAGCCACTGATTTGATGCTCATAGTAGTTTTTATAGCTCCTTGAAATGTCTTTTCAAAAAAGAATTATCTCCGTTGAAAGTTGAAGTATAGAAAATGTGCATTAATTGTGAATCAACCTAATATAATGTAGTCAATTTAAATCATTTTATATGGAAAACTCATACTTCATGTTCGGATATAAGGATGCCGTGGATCGTATATAGCTGCACACCACCAAAACTGCTAGGTAGAATTTTGTGCATGCCATCCATCATTAGGGTATGCAAGCCCTTTTCGCAAGCCATCTGTAAACTAACTCTAAGCGTCGACACGTTCCCAAATTTCCCCGGAAACCAATACTATCCAATGCTCTCCATGTTTAAGTGTAGCGCGGAACGGTGCATTTATCAAAAGGATCCGAGATTAAGGGAAGGCGAAGATAATTCCGTCCGCACTGATGGAAATCCAAAACCAGAACTTGTATTCTATTTAACTACACTCTGATTGTAGTTGGTGAATAGTACAACTGAATAATCTCATTTCTGTCCTGAAGAAATGGACTTCCATCTTCAAGGAAGGCGTAGGTTCGGGGAACGTAGTCCTACGTTACATGACTGTGAATGTGGGCTGCCCTCGCTTTACAACAAAGCTGTTGCCTTTGTATTGATAAGAAGTAAACACTAGAAACCTTTCAATGGTTCTTCTCCTAGATTCCAGACTATACTTGTAGAAATATGCTACCAATTCCCCAGATCCACGACGACCGGTCATTGCTTGTTGCAAGGTTTGTTCCCATATCTCTGGGACTGACTTACTTGCGAAAAGCGGATCACTTCGCACTTTCTGACAAGTCTGTGTAAGACAAGAAATTAGCTTATTGTTTAGGCTATTCAACATTTTGACTACTTTATACATCAGTCTGTTGGCTCTATCTTGAGATGTATTTACGGGTGTACATACGTGTCCCTCACAAGGATCGTTCAATATTTCATTTCCCACTACCTGAAACACAAGTGTCTCATCACGAAAAAGCCCATTCAACCCCCTTTCCTGCTGCTTGCTGTGCTCTGCTACTTGCACAAAATGCTCAGTTCGCTCAAAACTTTGCCTAGAGCGGATTCTATGCATGCTCATGGCAATTATCATGTTCGCAGCCACATACTCGGAAGTCATGGTGATGTTTAGATTGACAGCTTTTCCGCTTTTTACGCCAACCTTTATTCTAGTAATCACCGAAAAGGCTTGATCTCCCTCTCTCTGGCAAAACTTTGAGCTAATGTGGATTTTCACTCATCTACAGTCCCACGGTAATTCGAGAAGATGGCGTTAATGTACAAAACGAAGCGCTATTGTGCAAAATAACTTCCGCAGACGAATAGCGAGACCCGAATTTTTTGTCAACTAATGTGGAATAATACAGGCCGTCCGCATTTTGCAAATGCAACACAGTTGCACGCGTTGAATAGAGGTCACGGTGGACAAGACAGCAGACGAAAAAGCGAGTTAAGCCCATGAGAAAAGGGAGACGCGCGATGCAAAGTTTTGAGTCCAACGCGGACGGCCTGGACCCAAAACAGTTAAAAAGGTAGCAGTTTGGACACTATGATGAACTAAAACATGACAGACATGAAAACGTATGTAGCACATACCTTTACAGTGAGATGATGCCGTTCTCTTTTGCAACCGCGACACGCGAAAACGACGTGATCTGCGTTTCTTCTGTGGTGAGGAAACACATAAGCCATACGACTTCCGGGTATTGTGTACGTAATGACCTCGCGTGTTCCTTTCTGACTTTTTTGAAGCTCTCCGTAGAAGCGTTCTTGCGACGAAGCGCTTGATTTCGACATGAAACCGCAATCATCAATGAGAGTCCGATGCCACAAAAAAGGTGGCTGAGGAGATTACGAAATCCATTGATTTGATGAGATTACCGGTTTTTTGTCACGTTCACGTGATGCAACTTGTGCCGGCGGAAATGATTGATCGCTGACAAAAGCCGGGATAATGTAGCCACTCCCTTTACGAATGGAGTGAATAAACTAGTTAGAAGATGCGCGATTCTTTGACGATACATGAAATTGCGCCGGCTCCAATGTAGCTAGATGGAAACAGCCATTTTGGAATCGAACATATATCTTTGGGGTAATCTGAAACCTCCTTCGGATTCCAACTTCGACCTTACTCACAGTACATAACCAATGCAACTAAGAAGAGGCGATACGGCTGACTCTTAAATTTCTTTTGATTATAAATCTTATATATCACCCCACAAGGTCATCATGAATCTCGCTGTTTCTTGCTTTACCCATTAATCGTGCCACAGCACTGAAAACCAACTCCATTCAATTCTCTAAGTATACCATCGTGCAAATGCTAATGAAAATGGTGTCTCCTGGATATCTCATAGAATGTATGATGCGAGATATCTTAACAGCTATTTGTTATTTGATGGAGACAGAAAATCCTCTGCTTTCGTTCCTTGCCCAAACTGTCTAATGTTCATTTCTCAGGCTTTGAGATCATTCTAAACGACGAACAGAGATTTCGTAGGTGATATTTTGATGATATCTATCAATATGACTATTGTTACAGGTCCTCTCATGACTTAAAAAGGAGGCGAAATGACTAGTCTTATCATTCAAAAGATAAAGGCACATAATATTGACTGCAGGACCATTTCATGACATGTTGCGAGACAGAGAAGGTAAAATGCAGCATGTAACTAAGGTCAGCACCGGAATCCGAAGAATGGTTTCTCTAAACTCGCATAAGCAGAAGGAGAAAACATTGAACGACGACGGAACGGGACGAAAGTAACAATCCGAAATGTCAGGAAATCTAGGTTTTGGGCGGAATTTCGCAAGACGAACTCTGGAAAAGCTAAGTTCGGTTTGTGTTGCATGGTATGCGAGAGAAACTTGGGGTCTTAGCGGAATAGATGCAGGTTGGGAGATTCAAAGGCACACCGGCAAGAAAGGCTTGAAGAAGGAAAAGTGGTGTTGTAGCGGAAAGCCCTGCTGGCTCAAATTTCATTCAATTAGTTGTGCGGCAAGCTTGGCAAGTGTTCGCGTAGAGTTGCTCGGTGTGCTCGTCCACCGCGCTGCTGAGAATTCGCGCGCGAGGTGCGCGGCGAAGCGTCGACCAAGCGCGGCGTGACTCCTGACGTCGAGCCCATTCAGACCCCATCCTCCGGCTGACGTTTTATATTTTCTAAATTACATAACTTGGGACATCCTTTATCTAGAGGGACTGCGACCACTGCGACACACTCCATCCTGGGGGAGTATCATCTTCACTTTATCGCACCTATAGTGCCATCCTTATCCTTTTGAGATGGCATCGTTGCATAAGCGAAAATAAGATATAGTTCAAAGTTTTGAAAGTAGAACTGCCAAAGCGTTGCAAGAAAGATGAAAGTTGTTCATGACGGTAACAGGCTGAGAGAGTTCCAATTTGTGACTGGCTCATCGAGGAGGATCCAACATGCGACTACGAGCGGCTTCTGGAAGGATTGCGAGCTTAATGAGTATGCGCCTCAGTGATGACTTCTGAGAATAAATTGGAACACATTTCTAATCAAAAAAGAATTCCATTAAACGACTGAGTGTAGCAGAACAATTTTGCAGGAGAGTCTTCGGATGTACAGGCAAGCGAAGATACCGGAGACAGACAATGGAAAAGGGCTCCGAGAAGGGACCTAGGGCAATAGCCGTACCGCTGGCAGCACTAAATAAAGGCATATTTCAAATTGTTTCCGACATAGAATGGAATCTATCCCGAAGATCCACTCCCCGTACATACACCCGTTGTTCCCAGTGGAAAGTTAACAAATGGATTCTTACCTGCTAAAATGCGATCAATGCCATAAAGACGTCTACGGCTCCAGGACCAGGCCATCTTTCTGTCAAACCTATGCGAGCCGGACGACACAGTCTCCACGAGATTCTGGAAGAAACAAAAAGAGGATCTCAAACAAGGGTCGGCACGAGTTGGCACTAAGGAAATTTCAAAACGGTCTTCTTTGATCTTGAAGACTTTGTACAAAGTTCTCCTTGACCTCAAGCGGTAAACGTAAAAAACCCTTCAAGAAATCGAAACGTCGACTGAAAAAAAGTCGCAATTTTTGTGTCTTTTCGGCCACAAAAACAAAATCCTCTTTGCTTTTTGTCCCAAAAACGTTATCTATAATAGATTGATCAGGTGCTAGCTGCACCGAGCCCTAATCTCAAAAACTACCGTCTGTATGCTGCTGAGCGTGCTGTACAAGCTTCCTGCCAGGATCAGTTTTGCTTGTATATCAAGAGCAACCGGATAAAGCCCAACCCAAGAACAGCTCAATTCTGCAACGGATTTAGCTACATGGACCTCATCCAGAGGTTCCAACAGTCTCGCAAAGCAAAACGTTCCGAGAAAGACACCATCAAGAATGGCAGATTTTTTGGGGAACGGTCTGACCTTTGCGATATCAGGTGATTACAATTTGCATCTGGAACTCGCGAACACCACCGACGACCACCAAGAAGATTTTGGAAGTCAGAAACGAGGGACAAAAACATTAGAAGAGCAAGAACCACTAGCCAATTAGCTTTTACGTTCATGACAAAAAATCACCCAAAAGCAAGCATACTTACGCTCGTACGTGGAGTTAAATTTAAGTTTTTTTTATGTCTATGAAAAACTTGATGCTATAGAGTCTACATAAATTTGCTTGAACAAACCAACAACAACCATTTGTCAAACTTCATATGGGAAAGATGCTAAATTCAAATACGAGGAGATTGTAGAGTCCTTAGAAAGAGTAGAATCTTTAGATGTAGTAGAATCTCGCCTTTTCTTGCTTACGCACTTTATATCTGTTTAGCTATCAGTTGCTATGACATACAAGCCGTTTAACGGCAACAGGTACGAGTTGTTTAGCCGCAAATACACGCGCGCAAACTAGTATCTTACCTCAAGGTCATGGATTCAAAATTTTTACCGTTTTCATGTCTGTTTCTCATTCTATGAGTGATAGCTATGACTGCTATCTGTAGGCACAGTATAGCTGGGAAGCCAGCCTCCGCATAGTGGTGTACTTGCACTGCGTGTGCCTGTCACCGTTAATCGCATTGTGATTGTACGTTATAGCATAGCGCCTGCTTACAATCGTTGATTTCAGCAACAGAGCGTTGAATACTTTAAAATTTGCCCTCATCTAACTGACCAAAAGGAGTAGGGGAACGAAAGCCGCCAGTTTGGGCCGCCTCCGCGGACTGCTGGTCCTGGGACGACATGCAACAACATTGTGAAAGAATCAGTTGGCCGCGAAAGGCGGCTCAAAATGGCGGCTTTCGTTCCCCTACCCACGCAAAAGTAATGAATGTTTTACTTCTGTTTATCAATTCACTACTCGTAGTTACATCGGAAACGTTTTTATGGAAATTATGTCAAAGACAGAGGATAGAAATTTATTTCTTCGGCTCATCTTCCTTTTGGCTTTGCGCTGCTGCTAATTGTTGAAGACGAAGTCTTAGATGCTGAGCTTGTTTTTGTCGAAGTTTTGGATGCTCTTTTCTTTTTCAACATTTCTTTGTGTTCCTGCAAAGTAAACTTTGATCATGTAAAATCATTAACATAATCGTAACGCAGAGCTTAGCACAGAAAAAAAATGACGTTCCTATTGTTTGTTTTAGCGGAATCTTGTTCATGGCGCAACCATATGCACTCGGAGCGAGACTGCACCACCACTCAAAATTATTTGGCGTTTGAAGGCCGCATTTATGATTGCTTAGATGTAGATAAGGGGTCATTTGGGTATTTCAGAAAAAGAGAAAGTCATTTGTTTTTATGGATCAGCTAAAGTTGCGCAGCAGGTGGCACAGCCGATCAAAGAAAAAATTGACCACGTTTTCTGGTGAAAAAAACTAGGTAACCTTTGATTCAACTGGCTTGTCTTCAAGAAGGCGAGGCTTTGTGACCTAATTGAGGCTGCTCGCGCCCGCGACGCATTTACATCTCTCTCGCGCGAGTGTTCTCTGATCATTATCTAGCCTTAATTAGGTCACGAAACGCCTTCCCGAAGCCAAGCCGGTTGAATCAAATGTTAATTCGCGTTTTTTTTTCGGGGCTCCGCTCAGTATGACACTTTGTGTTCAGAGGCCGTATTTATCATTGATACCCTAAGGTAAATCCTACTTCCAAGTAGTTTTATCACTCATTATCAGTGATAAAACAATGTGATAATAAGTGATAAAACTACCTGGAAGTAGGATTTACCTTAGGGTATCAATGATGATTACGGCCCCAGCTTGTCCATGTGCCATGTGCCACTATGCCGGGCCTTGCCTAAAGGATTAGATAAAAGAAGTACCAAATGCTAGGCAATGTGAAGTTAATTCAGTTCATACCCTCTAATTCAACGATGCGGCTGGTGGGTGGAATGGGAGGGGGGGGGGGGAGGGGACTCATGTTCTTGCGGCCCTCCTCGCTTGCACCTCTTTCCGATCGTGCTCTCTAGTGATTGAAGCACCGCCGTGATCGTGCTGGAACTGCTACATGCGTTACAGCCGCACGCTCGTGATAAGTAATTAAAGAACACGCTCACAAAAGAGCTGCAGAGCCTAAGCGGTCCCGCCCTCCAGCCGCCAATCTTTAATTCAGAGGGTATATAGTAAGTATACAGCTGACAGTTCCAGCACATTTCTTGCATCGTGCTGAATTGTTGCATGCGTTGTAGCAGTCCGCATGCAGTTTTGTGCGGCGGGAGTCAGACATATTGGAAGTTTCTAACTTCTCCTCTCAAAATTCGTCATTTTGGTCTCACTCTTCTACTTTGCTTCCCCTTCAATGAAAATACCCTCGATCTTGAAGCGGGTCGAAGAATGAGTGCCGTAGTGCCGTTTTCACATTCCGAGAAAATGCGTTTCCGTGCGCCTTTCGATTTTCCCCTACTCTTTTTCAAACCTACCTCATGTGTTCCTGAAAACTCTGCGTGCTTTCCATAGCCATCTGCCTTGAGCTATGGCAGGCAATTCTCAAAATGCAAAAATCGAGATCTTTCTCAACTTTTCTGATAAGTTTTACTTTTAGGTAGTCTCAGCTTTTCTTCTTTTCCTGTATTTACCCGTTCTTTTTTTCTACCCGCTTCTCTTTGTAATGAGAAAAGCTGCGAACTTGAAGCGGGGTTGAAAAATGAACGCTGTTCTGCTTCATGCATCCGGAAGATTGGTCTTCCCCTATTCTCTCTTCGTTTTTGTCTGATTCTACTTCAAGTATTCTAAAAAGCTGTCTAGACCATTTTTAATGCAAATTCGGAACTACGCAGTGGCTTCGTAGAACACATAGAAAAGGTCTGAACGAAAATAACAAAGAAAGAATAGACGAGCGCACGAAGACAGATCTTTCCGGAGCTGTGGAAGCGGAACTACCCTCAACTTCCGATTCCGTTTCAAAATCAAGACTTCTTCCACAAAAAATGGAAGCGGAGTAGAGGTGAGACCAAAATGAGAGAAATCTGAAAGAAAAAACCGTTAAAAACTGTTAGAGGTCTCTATCTCCGCCCTTTGAAACCGCATGCGGGCAGCTGCAGCGTATGCAGCACATTTTCGGCATAGTTATAGCACAGTGCGAGAACTATGCTGGATTTGTTCTCTAACTTCTGGATCAGTATAAACCCAGCCTAATTACAAATCACGAATCTTATTGTGCAACCAGTGCGTCACGTTTGCTCCGCAGAGATTCGCAATGGCTTTACCATCCATATGCCTTTGATCGCATGATGGCTTTGAAACTCACCAGGCAATGCTGAACGTCACCAATGAATTGTAAACAACTGCTCATTCTTAGAACTTTGTACGTAAGATCGGTAAATTTGAAAGAAAAAACTTTTCTGCAGAAGAACAAATGTGATTTTGAAGGAGTTACTGAATTATTTTGGCTCATTAGTTGCCCTTAGGATAATAAACAATTTGTGCAACATCTACAAAAAGTTTCTCAACTTGTTACGTAAAACTCTAACTGGTCCAACATCTACGCGATCATTTCTTTTTGGCGCAGTCAACAAAAATCAAATTTTTTGAGCAACTTCCGGGCTAAAACTCATGGCTTGCAAATTTATTCAGCCGAATACATGACTTTACAAAAAGTCGAAACATTGACCTAGTTATGCGTGTCAAAACTCGCGTGGATCCGTTTCACGTGCCATTTTTGAACCGTGCATTGGATCGGTTTGTCATTGCGCAAGGTGAACTTAGACACTGCCAGTGTGCGCTGTGCAAAAACGTAGCTCATGATGTAATTAGTAACTCGCTCTACGATTTTCATGACGCACAGTCATACATACACGCACAAAAAGGGACGCTTAGCACTTTATTCTAAAGTCATGATACACACAACTCAGCAGCTCAATTCAAAAACTCAGGTAAAGAATGGGCGAACTGTAATCTAATCAAACATATCTGAGGAGACTGAAATTGGTACATTCACGATAATACGAGCTACGATGAGTCGTGCGCGTGCTGCCATTTTGACCCATGGGACCCATGAGTGGATCGTATGCCTTGTAAAGTTGTGAAATTTGCAAGTCTACAGTAGGACATCATGAGATTTTGGCATATGGGAGGCGTATAACTGGGTTTGAACCAGAAAAAAATTATCAATGCGGACAACAAAACTTATCAGTGGGGCTTTTACTAGCAAGGTGTTTCGGTCGTAAAGCGGGAAACAGAAAATGGTAGCCTTTGACGTTCGAAGCATGGATTTTTTAGCAAATTACCACTATCAATCTGACTAGCAGAAAGAAAAACGCGAAAGTGCACTTTTGTCAGTGATACTGTTATTTTTTTGTGAAAATAAATTAGAGTCAAAAAATTCCATGTAAAACTCCTCCCTGACGAAAAACGTCGGTCTAGCCTGCGAAGCTGCTGCAACTTGCGTTTCGAGCATCCTATTGAAGCTTGTTCGTTCGTGCATGCCCCCGTCATGGGTAACCGCCTTCTTGTGAATTAGGTTTAAGATTGACGAATCTTGATTTTTCGTCCTCTGCATTTGTGCTCATTTGAAAGTTAACAAGATGATGCAAGCCATATCGTGTAAAACTCTTTTAGCGGTTTTGTGGCATTTCGTTTTTCTGCGACTCCAGAGAAGATTGCAAATAGCTTCTTCGATTGGAATCACTTTGAAATTGCCTTGCGTTTAAAGTATCAAGAAAATGTTTGAGGTTGAACAAGTTGTTATTGATAGGGAGGACCCTTACTCGCAGCGGCGACCTGGAGCGAAATGCATATCATTAGATGCGTCTTAATAAGCTAATATCAAAACTGACTTTTATGTCGCTGTGCGATTCGCCAAAAGAAGTTAAGAGCGCTTGAAGTCAGTATTTGGCAGATATTCACAAAAACACTGGTCTATGTTACCGGTGTATGTGTGCATTCCTTCCAATCAATACACCCAACACTTTGCTAATTAGGCGCTCCAAAGTTGAAATCTAAGACATGTTTTTATTAGATTTCAATAACAATGCATTTCCACGCTCATAATTTTTTTTAGAGAGCCGCGCGACGGAAATAGGAGGTAGATTTAAAATCAGCTTATCAAGACGCATCTAATGAGTTGCATTGCATTCCAATTCGCCACTGCGACCAATCCTTCGCTGGTGGAGACAAGAATTGTTTTCACTGTGTGTTTTCACTTTTCCTCAAAGAGAACCCAAACGAGAAACCGGTATTACCTCTGGGCCCCAAGGATGGATCCACGGGTCCCATTCCTCTTCCTCATCATCTTCAGGAAGGCTGGGCTTCTGTAACGGTCAAGTATAGTGCCATCCAAAGCACCCTTCTTTTATTCTCTGTGTTATTAAAAAGAGAGCAGCGAGATAAGCAAAAGAAGAAACCAAGATTTTCCAGTAATAATGTGGCTCCAGTTTGGGAACGCTAAAAGTGGACAGTGTGTGCAATGACACAGATAATCATATGAAATGATTTGACTGTATGGATCGATAAATGCACTTTTGAATGCTGGTTCGAAGACTGCTTCCCATATCTGCCAAACGATTATCTGGCTGGAGTCGTGATTATTTTCTCAAGGAAAAAAAAATGCACTGCCGCAAAGGCTCAAAGTTATCACTGCAAAATTTCACTGCTTTTTTAACCGATAAATTTTAATCATAGTCTAAGTGCAATAGTTTTCTGCCTAAGATTTCATAGTCCCAAGCAGCAAATTAGATCAATGACTGATGATCTCGGTTATACAGAAGTGCACAACACCTCTTCAAAGAACTTTTTATAACTTCCTTCAAGATGTTTTGCAGATAGCGAGGCTAAATTTGTGATCAGCGTTTCGAGTTGCGTTTTGCGGTATACACCACGGATGAGCACGGTCACCAAGTATTCCCTCGTGATTCAAACTTACCAAATCTCGCAATCATTGAAGAACTTAGGTAAAAGAGAAAATACTAAATAAAACCATGGTGAGAGGAAGGCCTTACAATTTGCGTATAAATCTGGAAACAGGGCCCGGTACTAGTCAGTTTCAGCGTTTCTGAAGACGAGGTCTCCCTTGACTTTCGGAAGTTTTACGAAGTCCCCTTTGATCTACCTGCTTAGGAGAAGATGAAAACGAGAAAGATTTACTAGTCTAAAACAAAAGACGTAAGATAAGAGTGAAAATCCAAACTGGAGCTGTACTACGCATGCACAAGACTTTGGTATTAGAGCGCGATATCTAAAAAAGCGAGAAGACATGAGGCAAACAGCAAAGGAAAGGCAATGATATGAAAACATCTTCATGCCCAGGGATAGATTTTTGACCGGGGAATCCGTCCACGCTAAAAAGATCCAAAACTTATGTGAAGTGACGAAAATATATGCTCCAGACGATCTCAGATCGTCTGGTGGCCGTCTGGAGACGATCTAATTTTGGAAAAGGTATTATTTCACATAAGTTTCAAATCTTTTTACCTAATCCTTTCGCAAATAATTTTTTATACATACACTTCAATTTTGGTGTCATATGCTCCTGTGCGCGCTGTAAGCAATTTGTTTATTTGAGCCTTGCTTTCAAATCGCGTGCACTTTTCGCCATGCACGATACAGCATGTTAATCGTGTGATAACCTGTCCGAAAAGCTTGGTTCGACTAAATGGCGCTTAATCTTGGTGCCCGGTTCCGACTCGTCAAAAACGATATCCCCTTTGCTGTTTGCTTCAAAAACGAAGTCCAGCCTGCTTCCAGACGATCTGTGCCAGGCCCTGACTGGAAAATGTGAAAGTAATGTAGGGCTGTAATAGATTTTTCCCAGAAATGCGGCAGCCCCTACCGTAAAGCGACACACGCCATTAAATTTGTCTTGAGGGCCGGGCATACTTCACGCGATTTGGCAATATTCCAACTGTCCATAACTCACTGTAAATACTTTTTAAATGTCCAGAAGATAGAGCATTTTATCAATCCACGTAAGTTATACACACCATGCATCTGCAGTTGTTAGTGTTGGATCTGAAAACTTCTGGCGAATTGCCAAATCACGTCGCGACTAACATCGCGTGGAGTATGCCCGGCCCGTTAAAAAAGTTATGGTAACTATATCTCGTAGAAGTGACAGTAAGGGCCTACTCGGCTCTACATAGAGGAAGTTTTCCACTTAGTAGGAGCTTTGGCTTTTAGAAACGTCATTCGCGGGTTCAACGCGAAATTCTGGCATGGATCAAACAGTTTTTGTTTCAAGTATAGAGAAATGATTACCGGGGAAAGATAAATTTCATATGAAACTGACACATCTCAAGTTTAAAAAGAAATTCTTTAGAAGAAAGTATTTGATAATTCAAAGAAAAAACAAAAAGCTTAGCTTCCTTTTGCTCAATCGACTTGCGACCACCCTTTCTTCAGATTCTCAGCACAAGCCCAGGTATGGCGCGATGCACCCCACTAACCTCCTTGCCGTTGATCTTAGACCAAGGATTTGGTAGCGAGTTGAGTGCGTCGACAGGTTAGTCGCGACAATGATCCTTTTTATTTGAGGAGGAAAACCAAATTTTTTTAAAACAAAAAGGCATAACGTCAAACAGTACCCAAAAATTTTAAAACTTCTCTGACTTTATGTATTTTTTGATTTGAAGAAATTGATGAGTAGACTACGCTTATACTTCCAACTGAAAAAGCATCCCTTGTTTTTCAAAAAATTTACCTCCATTTACGACTTTCCATTCTAATCGCAAAAACTCATGTAAATCAAACAAAAATTTTGCAAACCATTTTCGGGGAGGATTGAAGGGTGGGAAAAAAGATTTCTTGACCTTTTTTTCTGTTTGATAGTCAGATTGATGTATTTTGAGGGGAGGGGGGATGATCAAGTGCTGAGGGCCAATCATTAACCTGCGTGCGCATTTACTGTCATCTACTATATCAAGCAAACACGTACCTTGACTGCAGACTGAGTTCTAGTTCTTTTTGAAGAAGCAGTTGATCCAGATTTTCCATGCTCCTGCAAATAACGTTCGAAAAATTGTTATAAACAGAAATGTTATCTTATATATAAAGCTGAATGTCTGTCTGTCTCTGTCTGTCTGTATGTCTGTCTGCATGTCTGTACGTATGTCTGTATCCAAATAGAAAATTCCATTTCTGAACCGATCCGGACCAAACTTAGCACACATACACATCGAGCCCCGGCGGGTGTCATAGGCCACTTCTCGTCATCGATCGATATCGATTTTATCGATTTTTTGCAAAATTTGAGCGGGCTGGGAGTTGGCACAGGGGGGTAAGTGAGCATGCTGATTACGAATATATTAATGACAGGGCGGAGCCGGGTAAGTCAACTAGTTGGATGATAAAGCCGAAAAGATGTTAGGAATAGGCTCTAAATCTTGCGGTCATATGCCTATAATTCAGCTCGCGATCCCCGAAGTGTAGACAAAAAAGACTACAATTAGTAGATTTGTTGGACCGCGCGTCAAGAATTTGAGAATTTGATGCACTTGATATTACAATAATGCAGAGGTCTGTGGCTGCTAGATCAAGATTCTGCGACAGTAAGCTAGGTGCAGAAGTTTTTACAAAGTGGGAACTACGCTTTGTTTTCGCGTTCCTTAGATGGAGTCTGTTCCACCTATAGCCTAGTAACTCATGATAAAAATTTAGCATCCGTTATAGAAACTTTTTTCTTCACAAACATCATAAATAGACTGGAAATGCAAATAATACATAGTACCTAAGACATTTTGCAGTTGAACGTTTTTAATGAAAATGGCTCAGGGTAAGAGTCGCGGCTAGCGATGTGCTCCTCAAAGTATGGAGGTCGGGAGCTTCGGTTAATTCGCATTGTCCGGTCGCGATTATGGTAGCTTTAGCTTCGCATTGCCGTAGCCGCAGGCGGACTTTTCCTTACAGGCACGAAGCCAACAAAACGGCTATATAAGGCGTCGGCGCTCATTTGCCTACCTGCTCACCTTTGTATTTATTGATTTTTGTCTGCGATTTCAATATTGCATTGACGTGCCATGAGCTCCCGAGTTTGTATTTTTGTTCATCAAGCGGTCCAAGTCCGCATAGGATTTGGTAAAATTCAAGCGCTTGGCGCACTGAGATGAAGTCGACTTTTTTAAATCTGTTTATGAGAGCTAGGAAAGGAGACGGTTGCACCATCTACTTTACTGATATGCCTTCATCAACAAATTCAAAAAGGGTCTGGGCGACTGGTGACAGATCTGTTGAGCCAGGCCTAGAGATGTTCATGATTGGAGACAAGTTTGACAGGACCATGGGACGATGCGACAGGTGTTTTTTTTTGTAGATTTCATTCAGTAGATTATCACAGCGTAGAATTTTTTGTATAATAAAGATAAACATGTTTAATTTAGCCGGCTCTTCTTTGTCAGCGTCTACGCGCTATTGTACTATTGGGCGGGAAGGGGTAGTCCACGGTAGCGATCGCTAAGGCGTCGCGAATCTTAGAGGTCGCGCATCATGTAGGGAACAGTTGGATCTAAGGTGTAGGTAGCGGTCAGCACTTACGGAAGGTGCTGGGCCACCCAGCCGCCAAATACTGATTACTTACAAAGGTCGAAGTGGCGATTCGGAAGGTGATGTATACTCATAGATAGAGCTTAAAGGCAGTGTCTAGGTAAAAAGTCGATTTTGAGATTTTGTGCATACCAGCTACCCATGCCTATTCGCTATGCTGAATCCGAAAATTCACACAGAAAGGAGAAAACGAATGCAGGAGGGAAATGAGGAGCTGGGCCGGGTCTTCCCTACTGTGAATTCGCGATTCAAGCTTCCGAAGCGATTTTCTCGGTTTCGCTAGTCGTCCTAACATCTCCACCGGCCAAGTAAGAACGCTTGACTTGGAATCGGGAACCGAGAAAATGCACCACATGCTGTTTACTCAAACATCAAGTCTATCCAAGGTGTTACGAAAGTAACACTTCCAAAGCTGGCATGAGGTGGCTTTTTCAATTTTCTATAAACGAAGTCTCCCTGGACTTCTTCACAAAAATACTACATCGCCTATGACGCGATCATAAATGGATCAAAATGAATAACGAAAAATAAAAGCATAAAAACAACTTGAACAGAAAAAAAGAACTGAAGATGTGCGTATTCTCCGAGTTTGCGGCATGCTGTGTCTGGCGCGCACTCTTGCGCACGTGGAGCAGGCTTGCCGGCGTCATACGAAATATTTCGAGAGTTGTGACTAGGCGAGGAAGAAGGGGTTTTATAGATTTAAAAACTTGGTTGTAGGGTTTTTGATGTAAAACAAAATTATGTTTAACATGTAAGAAAATTATGTGAAGGAAGGGAAATTTATGACTTCTTCTTTTTACAGCCACCTCAGGTGGCTATCCAGGTGGCTTAGCCATCCAACTCCGAAGAAAGTTTGCCACGCCTTCAGTTCATATAATTTTATCATAATTTTTCGTACAGGTTTTAGCTTCCTAGTGCCCATCTACACACCAATTTTGGTGTCATTTCATTTTTCAAGCTGTAAACAAGTCTTTTGTTTGTTTCGGGGCAGGTTTAAATTTGCGCGCTTAACCGGCGAACCTGTTGAAACAGGAAACTTTTGGTTTTGGCACAATGGGATCGATAAGGCAGAAACGACAATTCGCTCCTCTGTAGAAAATGAAAGATGACATGAAGGAAGAATGCGATTATGTGTGTGGGGAGGGGGGGGGGGGGGTTTCGCTTAAACTTTGTTCCCTTGCTTTTTTATATCCAGCTTGTCCACGCTGGATTCCGAAGCACATTATGCATTAGAATCTCAAACTTCCCACTTTTAAAGGCAGTGTCCAAGCAGAAAGTCGATTTCAAGATTTTGTGCTTACCCGGGCCTATTCGTCATGCTGAACTCGATACACCACAATGGACTGCGCGAAAATGCCAAAAAAGGCCCTAATGCAGGAGGGAAATCGCTGGTGGGCGGGGCTGTTCACACCGTGACGTCACTCTCCCAGGCTTTAAAGGCAGTGTCCGGGCAAAAGTCGATTTTGAGATTTTGTGCTTATCCGGACCTATTCGCTATGCTGATTCTAAAAATCTACATTGGAGAGCGCGAAAACGGCGAAAAAGGGCTCTAACACAGGAGGGAAATCAGCATGTGGGCGGGGTCCTCCCGAACGTGAATTCACGCTCCCAGCTTCTGGAGCAATCTTCTCGGTCCCGATTTCAAGTCAAGCGTTCGCACTTAGCCGGGGAAGATGTCAGGGCGGTTAGTAAAATCGAGAAGATCGCTCCTGAAGCTGGGGTCGTGAAGTCACAGTGGGGAAGACCCCGCCCACCTGCTGATTCCCCTCCTGTGTAAGAGCACTTTTTCGCCGTTTTCGCACTCTCCAGTGCGGATTTTCGGATTCAGAGTAGCGAATAGGCCCGGGTAAGCACAAAATCTCAAAATCAACTTTTTGCCTGAACACTGCCTTTGAGACGCTGGTCTCAAGTATGCTTTCTATATCTGCAAAGCATTTTTTTCACAAGAATTTATGGGCTTTTTGTATTCATAATGAAAGTATGATCTGAAGGGAAATAACGACTTGGTTATTTAAAGGCAGTGTCCGGGCAAAAACTCGATCTTGAGATTTTTTGCTTACCCGGGCCTATTCGCTACGCTGAATCCGAAAATGCACATTGGAGAGTGCGAAAACGGCGAAAAACTGCTCTAACACGGGAGGGAAATCAGCAGGTGGAAGTCATGCATTCGCACCTGGCCGGTGGAGATTTCAGGGCGCTAGAAGAATTGGGAAGATCGCTCCAGAAGCTGGGACTGCGAAATTCACAGTGGGGAAGACCCCGCCCACTTTCGATTTCCCTCCTGCGTTAGAGCCCTTTTTTGCTGTTTTTGCGCTTTCCAATGTGGATTTTCGGATTCAGCATAGTGAATAGGCCCGGGTAAGCACAAAATCTCAAAATCGACTTTTTGCCCGGATACTGCCTTTAAGGGTTGTTTCATACTGCCGCACTGACTGCAGCAGACTGCAGCAGACTGCAGCTGACTGCACTGACTGCAGCAGACTGCAGCTGACCGCACTGACCGCAACAACCGCAGCGGCTGTAGCATGCAGGCGGAGAGGATAAATAGTTGTGGTTTAAACAAACAACAACAATATATACGTAAAAGCAGAAGACAACACGGTTTAGAATGTTACAAAACAGGTATATGCAATGACAGGAGGAATTAGAACAAATACGAACATACCAAAGAAAACTATCGCCAAAATTTGATTGAGAAGAATTCTGATGGAACTTATGATCTTCTTATGCGTAAATCACGCTGTTTCGGTAATCGCGGTTGTTTTTTTTTCAAGAAAAGAGGCTACGACCGGTGCGGTCAGTGCGGTCAGCTGCAGTCAGCTGCAGTCTGCTGCAGTCAGTGCAGTCAGCTGCAGTCTGCTGCAGTCTGCTGCAGTCAGTGCGGCAGTCTGAAACAACCCTAATGACGCGGATAATGACATGGTTGGAATAGATGAAAACGTTCAAATATAATCATATCAAAGTTACAACGCTTATCAGGCGGTTTGCTTGAGCCTGTATACTTTTGTTAAAAGTTACCGTAATTTTGTGACCTATGTATGAAACTTCGGCATAGTAAGAACTTGTAACTTTTTCAAAAAAAAAACGTTTCGCGGATAAAGGAGGTATATCTGAGATCAACGTTCAAAGCTTTATCCGATGAGCCTACCCATGATCTTCATCTCCAATATACATACACACATTTATTCATCCTCAGCGGTCATATACAATTAGTACCGCGATGATTCCGTTTATGGCTTGAGTTGGTCGATTTCAACTTCGATCGTCTTCGATGACAAGAATATTCTTGCTCGTGCCAACCAGTGCGTTCGTGACGTTGCGCTGTCCATGACTTCTCGACCAAGTAGACGCAGTGGACCAGCCACGGTTTCTTCCACCTTGTCTTCTTGGTTTTACCCTTGGTGGATGGTATAGGTCAGAGCTGCCGACCGTTTGCGGGAAGGATGAGGAGAGAAGTGATTTCCACTATAATTAACCCTATTTCTCGTCAAAACCTAACACAATTACCAGGTGCGATAAGCGTCTCGGGTTGACTATGCTGTCACTCTAGCTCGAACGGAAGCAACCATGGCCTTAGCAGAAAGAGCGAGGGAGGCGGGAGGAGAAGACATGTTAGCGCTTTGACGTAGTTAAAAAGCGGCTCGCTCGTCATTAAGTCGAAATCTAGAGGCTGTGTAATAACCACTAGCTCAACATGTGAATCTGCAGCATCATGAGTACGGCTGTTGGTACAGCTTTACAGTATTTGATAGACAAAAAAACTAGCTCCGTACGCTCATTCTTTGATGAGCTCTATGTCCCTCTTTGCTTCTCTTTGGGTGTTTCTCTCCAATAGACTCCACTACTCATATCACAAGCTTTACTTCGCAAGGCTTTCTTCTTTTAACAACGTTGTATCGGTGGAGTGTGCACTTCATTAATTCAGAGACTCTGGCTCCACCAAATCCGATGTCTTTACAATCTGTTATCACCTTGTTGATCCAGAGTGATCTAAAATTTAACCCGACGTCCCATTGCATAGATCAAAAGTAGAAATTTATAATAGAACTGAGAATAAGCATGCAAGTTATCATGAGAAATGTTTACTATTAAAATTTTGAAAGCATACCAATCTGGAGTATGATACTTGACGAAAACAACGAATTAGCTAATCGTTAACATTCTCTACTCTGACGGATGAAGTAACGAATTACAACACATTATAGTCAAATAGATTTCCCGGTAAATATAGTGCGCCTGCAGAAACGGCAGCATTCGCGCGTAAACAATTGACGGAAAGCGAGAAGTTGCAAGCTTTCAGTGTTTTTTTTCGCTTTCGCTTAGCTTTTTTTCTATTTAATCGCCATTGTTCTGGTATCTTTCATTCGACTAAGAGTAGAAGGTAAGTTAGAATGCAGCTTTTGTTGTTTTGTGACATCGTCGTTTGACTTCAGGTGCACTTACTGGTATCTGCATCGCATTTAGTATTTATGAAGTAGCCCTTTCTTTCATCTTTTTTTCTTATCTGGAACCTATTCTACGACAAATGTACTTGCGCAAGTGCTGCCGCTTTCGAAGGCGCACAATGTTCACTGGGAAATCTGCTAGACGGTACATAACTTGCAGTATTCAAAAAAGGCAAACATCAAAGAAAAACAAGAAGAAAAACAGCGAAGGACTACAAAGCTTAAGGAGGACGAGTTTGAGGAGCTGCTTTCATGCCATACAGTACACAACAATAAGAGTTAGACGACTCTGGATGTAGGGTGCAGATTACATAGAAAAACCCGAAAATTTCTCTCTAAATCATATTTGTCGCTCTTGGTTTAGCTCTGCTATAAGCAGAAGATCTAGCTATTTAGATTGTGTTCGTACTCCACAAAAGCGAGTTCTTAGACCCCTTCTTGTGCTAGCGAACTGTTCTCTCTCCCACATAGTTCTTTCGATGAGGAGCAGCATGGTGAGGACTCTTTGAAAATTATCTCTTAGTGTTCAAGCTGATAGAGTTTGAAAAAAAAACAGGTGTTTTATACTCGTGAAATTAGAGTACATACTCGCCAGTATCAAAGTGGTAGCTTATACTGTAGGTACAACCTTCTACAAGCAAGAACAGAGACATGAGAGCTTGCAACATGCCTGTCCCTCTCAAACATCTAATTGGTTTTACAAATACAATTGTAGATTAACATATTGACGACCGCTTGACACACATGGTGCGTCAAGCAAAGACTACCGCACGGGACCGCTTGACACACATGATGTGTCAAGGCTGGTATTTCGAAAATGACGAATACTTTGGTACAAACTCATTCCAGTTTCCCTTCGGGCTGTATGTAGAAACAACCTCGTTCTTTCTTGCCGGCCTTTTCAGAGCTACTATAGGTATATTCTAGATGGCAATATGAGTGATTTAATCTAAAAAATGTTGTCTGGTGTGCGAGAGCCCTCGGTACCAAATGACGGAGAACTATAAATCTGCATGGTCGCCAATGTGTGAAGCCCAACACAGAGGTACCGAAGATGATGTGGATTTGCTAAAATAAAAGCAAAGAGACCGCAAAGCATGTTGTACACGCCTATGCCTGGCTTGAGCACATGTGTGCTTACCGTTGGTAACAAGTATCTACAAAACTGATACGCTTGAGCGGTGCATTGCGCAAAAGAAATGGGTCAATTGAACAAATAGATTCTGTTTACGAATAATTTGACATTGAACTCGGTTTTGTCTTGTAAAACTAAATGAATGTCGTATTGGAAGCTTTTCAACATTTGAAACTAGTGAGTCCTGCAAAACTTTCGAAGATTTCACATAGCTTTCAAATCTGACACAAGAGCTATTATTAGTAGACATCTAGACTAGAATATGATATGTATTAATTTTGTTCACGATCACTGCACATAGCTCTAGTTGTAAACTTAGACAGTTTTCTTGGAAACTCGCTTTCATACGAATTCTTATATAGGGTATCCAAAAAAAATGTGCCTGCTGTTTAATTGTTAATAACTCTGTTGTCATAAATTCTTTAGAGAAAATTCAGGCAAGGCCGGTTTCAACTTCAACTTCAACTTTATTTTGTAGGTTAGGCTGCAGCTTATGCTTACAGTGATGGACAAATCACCGATTGCTCTTCATTATTGTAGGATTTCAAATCTTATATATAAAGCTGAATGTCCCCCACAATGGTCGGTCGCCTCATCGTGGCGTGGGGGTGACACTGGGTGTCGAACTGCGATGCACAGCCGAGTGTATACTCTGGTAGGGCCTCTCAAGCTGTGAAGGAGTTCGACGTTTCCGGTTTCGGCCGGATGCCTAGCTAAGAACTGGCCACGCCAGATCCTCCGCCGTCTGGCTTCTTCTGGTCGCTAGGCGGTCCCTCCCCGCTCCAAGCCCGGAGTCAGCGATCGCCTCGTGGAAATCAAGAGTAGGCCTAGTAAGCCACCTCTTGTAAGGGAAAATTCATATTACTCCTCCAGTTAGAAGATTAGAAAGAAACCCTGCACATCGTATCCCGCCTACGGCGCCGGGTGGTAGCAAGAACGATGTCAGGGTACTCAGGGCGCCTTTCGGATTGGACAAAAACGACACGTCTGCCCGAACGACACGCCATGGAGACTGCCTCATACTCTGCACCTACAACGCCAGGACAGTCTCCACAAACGCCGACCTCCACGCTCTTCTCGAAGCTGCAGAGCACATCAACTACCGCATCATCGCTCTGCAGGAAACGAAGTCCAGGAAGAAGGACGTGCGACAGATGAGTGATGGGACCCTCATCATTCGTGGTGAAAAGGTTCCATCACGAAACGTGGGAGGCGTCGGCTTTGTCGTCCATCCATCTATCGTCCATCTTGTCGATTCGCACGAGATCCTATCACCTCGACTAGGCATCCTACGACTACGCCCTCCACGTCAGAAGACCATCAGCATCATCAACTGCTACTCGCCAACATCAGCAGCTGACGACTCAGAACTAGATGCTTTCTACGAAGACGTGGAGGAGGTCGTCCGCAACGAAAAGTCTTTCTAAAAGTATGATGTGGGCGACTTCAATGCGAAAATCGGGATGCCACTAGAAAAGGGAATATAGGATCGGGAAGTTTGGATATGGGCTCCGAAACGAAAACGGCAACCGTCTCGCTGGGCTCCTCTCCGCCGCACGACTCTTCCATGGAAACTCCATCTTCATGAAGAAAGAATATCGCCGGTGGACTTGGGAATCGCCCAATGGAACCCTCATGCTGAGATCGACCACATTCTCACCAACCGAAGATGGAGCTTACTCGATGTCTCTGTAGTTCCATCCTTCTGTAGTGGCTCCGATCACCGTCTCCTTCGAGCGAAGATACGACTCAGCCGAAGGCTGGAAAAGAAAGTCTGTCATAGTGCCGCGAGAAGGAAGGAAGTCGTTTATGACGGTAACAGGCTGGAAGAGCTCATATCAAGTTGTGACTGGCCCATCGAGGAGGACCCAACGTACGACTACGACCGGCTTTTGAAAGGATTGCGAGCCTGCGGAGAATGCGCCTCAGTGACTTCTGAGAAGAACTTGGACCGCATCTCGAAGACCACCAAGGAATTGCTCAAAAGAAGAAAATCATTGAGGCAGGATCCGAATGCAACTCATCTCGAGCAACTGATAGCCAACGCCAGTTGCAGAAAAGCTTTGCAAGAGGATCTCAGGAAGTACAGGCAAGCCAAGATACTGGAAGCAGCCGAAAGAAGACGAAGTCTCAAGAAGTGCCGAAGGGACCTCTGCGAATATCACGTACCGCTGGCTGCACTACTGAACGAAGACGGGACTCCGACTTCTTCCCGATACAAGATGGAATCTATCGCGAAGAACTTCTACACCAACCTCTTCCGCTCATCAACACCCGTGCAGATGCCCGTTGTTCCCACTGGAGAAGTACCACCACGAATTTTACCTGCTGAAGTGCGTATCGCGATACAGACCATGAAGACGTCCACGGCTCCAGGACCAGATCATCTTTCCGTCGAACTTCTGCGAGTCGAAGGACATCGTCTACACGAGATTCTAGCGTCGCATTTGAAATCTTACCTTCAGAAGGAGAAGATTCCCGATCAGTGGAGAACGTCAAGAACCGTCCTTCTCTTCAAGAAGGGTGAACGGGAGGATCTTCGGAACTATCGTCCAATATGCTTGCTGAGTGTGCTGTACAAGCTTTTCACGAAGATTATCCTCGCTCGCATATCAAGGACACTGGATGAAGCCCAACCCCAAGAACAAGCTGGATTTCGCAAAGGATTCAGCTGCATGGACCACATCCAAACCGTTTCGAGGGTCATAGAAGTCTACCGGAAGTACCGACTGCCTCTCGTCCTAACCTTTGTCGACTACGAGAAAGCCTTTGACAGCGTCGAAACCAGCGCCATCCTGTCTGCGCTAGTCGATCAAGGAGTGGACCCAGCTTACGTGAGGACGTTAGCCGACTGCTACAAGGACTGTACAACGACGATGCAGCTATTCCATCGCTCCCTGACCATACCAATCGGGAAGGGGGTCCGACAAGGCGATACAATCTCGCCGAAGCTGTTCACCGCGGCCTTGCAGTGGGTGATGAAGTCACTGGACTGGGACGAGAGAGGCATACGAGTTGATGGGAGATTCCTGTCCAACCTTCGTTTTGCGGACGACATCGTTCTTTTCTCGAGCAGTATCACCGAAGCAGAGACGATGCTGAAGGAACTAAACGAAGTAGGGAAGAAGATCGGACTGCGAATAAATCGGAAGAAGACTCAGTTCATGAAGAACGCCCTTTGCGAAGATGCAGAAATGGAATTGGAAGGCACCCCAATTATGGAGACGTCTTCCTACGTGTATCTCGGACGTTCGATGAACATGGAGAACGACTTGAGGGAAGAACTTAACAGGAGAAGAAGAGCAGCCTGGGCCGCCTTCGGGCCTCTGAAGGAAGCCACCGACCAACTGACGGACCCGGAGCTTCGTGCCCACCTGTTCGACTCAACCGTTCTCCCGGCGCTCTGTTACGCAGCTGAGACTTGGGCCGAAACTGTAGCCACGTCGAAAGCTTTACGGACCACCCACAGAGCGCTCGAGCGCAGTCTTCTGAAGATGACCCGACGCAACAACATCTAGTCGGACTTCGCAGC